CTCCAGTGGCCGCGCGGACAGCGCGCTCCTCTCCGGCCTGGCTCCCCCGCCTAGCGCGCCGGCAACAGGGGGCGGGGGAGAGCGCTGCTGGGGGCTGCCTCTTAAAAGGGCGATGCCGGGGTCCGGAAGCGCCGCGCGCAGAGGCGGGCTGCAGTCTGGCGCCGGGAGCCCCGCCGGGACGCCCCGTTAAGAGGGAGTTAAGGGCGGCTGATTCTTAAAGGGGCGATGTCACTGCGGCGCGGGCTGGCGCTGCGAAGCTGGGAGCCCCGGGCGCTTCTTTAAAAGGGGAACGGCATAGTGGCGGGTGGAGTGCGGAACTGGAAAGGGGGCGGAAGAAGCTGTCGCAGCGCAGACCTGTCACCTCCCTGAGGCTCCTCCCTGAGGCTCGGAAGTGACAGGTAGAATAGCAGTCCCAGGTTCGGACCTCAGGCCTCGGTTTACCTCCTAAAGTGGGGGTGGTACCACGCTCATGTTCCCGGCTCGTGCACCACTCCACGTACGCCCCCGGGCGGGTCTCCTAGGCCCTCTCACACCTAAAGAGCCTGGCTCACGTTCAGCATGGACAGCCACGGAACCCGTCGTACGCCCTGAGGCCACACCTTGTCATGTTCCTTCTCCCCATCCAAGCTGGGCTTCGGGAGTCTGCCAGAACCGTCCCAATTCGCTGCCCTCTTTAGAGCCCTGGGCCAGGCTGCCCAGGCTTCTTGGAGCCTCTGGACCCAGCCACCGACTGAGCTGGTTCTCTAGCCTCTTCTGCCGCCTGAGTCCCAAAGTTCACAACAGGTCCCAGGTCTCTGTTTTTGGGTCTTCTGACTCCCAAGTTTGGCTTTGATTTGGACCCAAGCTGTGCCCTGAACCGGAGGAGTTTGGTTCCCAGGGCTCCTCTCCTGGCCTCAAAGCCTGGGCAGTTGTCCACCCCTTCACCCCTTCTCTTACCCCTTGTCTTGTGAGATGTGTCTTCCTTGGCTCCAGGTGGGGGTGTGGGCGGGCAGTGTGCTTTGTGTCTGGGCCTTTTTTTTTTTTTTTTTTGAGACAAGAGCCTCACTTTGTCTCCCCTGGTAGAGTACCGTTGCGTCATAGCTCACAGCAACCTCAGACACTTGGGGGTCTGCGATTCTCTTGCCTCAGTCTCCCAACTAGCTGGGACTACCGGTGCCCGCCCCAACGCCTGGCTATTTTTAGAGGCAGAGTTTCGCTCTTTCTCAGGCTGGTCTGAAACCTGTGAGCTCAAGCAATCCACCTGCCTGGACCTCCCAGAGTGCTAGGAGGTGTGCGGCCTGGTGTCTGGGCTTTGGACCCTTTGGGTGCTAACAATCCCTGTCCATAATGGCCTCTGACTCTCATTAGCTACTTTTCTTGCACCGCCTTTCTTCCTCCACCCTTTTCTCTCTTTGCCTTTTCTCCTCCCCATTTCCTCTGTGAGGCTCTCTAGAATTCCTGGTTCCTTCCTCCTTGAAAATTACATCCTGTGTTCCCAGAACTGGGTGTGGGGCTAGCCTGGTGTGTGGATCTCCCTCTGAAGGGGTGAGGGAGACTGTGGCTGCATGTGTGATGGCTGAGAGTACTGTAGTCCTGATGGGTTTCTGTGGGTGGACACCTCTCTCCCCTCCCCCTGGGAGTGTAACCCTGGGGGCCAGGACTCCCTCTGTCCTTTTTGCTTCCTCTCCTCCTGAAGGAATCTTTGGCTTCTACACACTCTCTTCCCCTTGCCAACACTGCTGCCTTGCCACCTCAGAGCCTAGTGCTAGAACCCCAAGACCTCTAATTCAGTCCCATTCCTAATTGAGGCCCAGGTGTGGGTTTGCCACTGGCAATGGCTAGCTGGATGCTATTTCAAGGAAAAGCCTGCCTTTATGCTTTCTGAGAAATTCCAAGGATATTGAAAATCTGGAATGTCTATTTCCTTCTATGGGCTCATGGGGGAAAAATAACCCACTTCTTCCTCACCTTGCTCCCAGGTTTACCAGAGCTAGTGTGGCAGCTTGGCCTGGAGTTAAAAATCCCTGAATTCTGTCTGGAAGTTATTTTCTCTTCTCTCCTGAGCTCTCTGGGCTTCCTGGCAGGACTGTTAATACAACTATCCCAAGGTGGATTATTCTTAAAGATAAGATTTCAGGTAAGATCAGTGCAAAGCTTTCTTGGATTCCCTTTCTTGAATGCACTCCATATTGTGTTTCCATCTTTCTACTGCAAATTAAACTGCTGTAAGAAAACAGCATGTCATTCTTCTATACCCAAGAATAGTATACTTGAAGCCCTTATTCAATTCCTCTCACCCTATTCTCCAAACTCAACAGTGCCAGATTCTTTAACCTGTCATCAATAAACCCTATTTATTATCTGGATTTACATAGTGTCTTTTACCCCAGGAACTCAAAATGCTTTCAGATATAATTGAGCCAGATCTCCCTGGTGCTCCAGCCATTAAGAAACCATTAGCCTGTTCCCGTTGCAGGCAACTAAATGGCCCCCTAGTGGCCTGAAGGTGAATATGAGTCTCTAAGTGCCTCTCCCTTAATAGGGGTAAGTGGGAATTAGAGAAATCAGAGATGCAGGCAGCATGGGGACAGAATGGGCCCCAAAGGTCATCTTTTGTGAATACTTCTAGAGACCCTAGAGCCTCTTCCACAACATCCCCAGGGAGAACTCTTCGGTGTCAACTAGAAGACCATTCATAATGGTGTGTATACGATATGGTCTGTTCCTTGAGGCACCTCTTTCAGACTTTGGAAAGTTCTGACTATATATATATAGTTCGTGTGCAATTTACTCTGTTAAACTATTTTAAATTGCACAGAAACTTTAGGTCTGTACTTATGTACTTATGTATATATACATATAATATTTTATGTATATCAGCAGCAATAACAATGCCCTTAGTATGTGCTAGGCACTATACTGAGCACTTACATTCCTGTCTCATTTGTCTCAGAACAACCTGTTAGGTATTATTGTTACTTTTCATCTAATAGTTGAAGTAACTGCCTCAAAAAGGTTAAGGAAATAGATGCAATTCAAACCCCTGACTCCAGAGCATTAAGTTCTTGATTAAGTTCTCTGTCTCATAGGTAAAGTTGAACTTTGTCTCTATAGTGGCTGTTGTGCGGTCCCACCCACGTCATCCTCAGGATAGAGATGCTCATTTTTTAGCTGCCATGAGTGTTGGCTATTGAAGGCTTACAGCTGCAACAAGGTAGCTAGGCATTTTCCTTTGGCTCTAAAGGAAGCTGCCTTTCTCTCCTGGCCTCCTAAGACCAATAAATAGAGCCAAGTGGTAACAGATCCCAGCCAGAGATATGCAGGGGTCTGCTAGGGAAGAAAGCTATACCCTAAAGGAGCCGTAGAAAGAGATCAAGTTGGCATCTGGGCTGAACAGTACATTGAATAAGGGAGTCTTTACTGTTATGGGAGTACTTCCCTGACAAAGCCTGACAGTTGGCTCGGCGCCTATAGCTCAACTGGCTAAGGCGCCAGCCACGTACAACTAAGGTGGCGGGTTCGAATCCCCAGCCCGGACCCGCCAAACAACAATGACGGCTGCAACCAAAAAATAGCCAGGCATTGTGGCGGGCGCCTGTGGTCCCAGCTACTTGGGAGGCGGAGGCAGGAGACTCACTTGAGCCCAGGAGTTGGAGGTTGCTGTGAGCTGTAATGCCATGGCACTCTACCCAGGGGGACAGCTTGAGGCTCTGTCTCAAAAAAAAAAAAAAAAAGCCTGACAGTTAGCCTGACAAAGATCCTGGGAGACAGGTGAAACGCAATAACCCACCAAAGTGAAATGGAAATGCCAGAACTATCATAGCAGAATGTGGAATAAGGGTACAAATAGCTCAGAGAAGTGGGTGTGCTATAATGGGCATTCTTTGTAAGACCAGAAACCACTTACATTCTGCGGAAGGCCCAGAAGATACTCTGGTTATGAAAGCAACAAGGAATGCACCGATGAGAGGTATACCAGTATCTGCAAAAACCTCAGTTTGGGTTGTTCTCTGTAGGCCAGGTCTGATAAAAGAGGCCATTCCAGAACTGGCTCCCTGATAGGCAATGGGAATGATAGCATCATAAAATAATAAAAGCCAGACATTGGCACAACAATTGTAATGAGCTGGAATGGCAGTAAGAAGTCCTGGCAAGTACAGCTATAAAGATAGTTGATAACATATTATCTCTAGGGCAGGCTAGATGGTCAGCTAGTAAACGTATTGCTCATTCTATACCAGTGGCTCTAAAATGCTTTGGTTTCAGGGTCACTTTACACTCTTAAAATCTGAGGTCTCTAAAGAGCTTTTCTTTATGCAGGTTATAACTATTGATATTGACATATAAGAAATCACCAAAAATCTTATAAAATAGCTTTTAATTCATTTAAAAAATGTGCAATACATGTTAACATAGATAATGTATTTTTATGAAAATAGTTATTTTCTAAAACAAAAACTAGTGGAAAAAGTGGCCTTGGCTGGGTGCAGTGGCTCATGCCTGTAATCTTAACATGCTGGGAGGCCAAGGCAGGTGGATTGCCTGAGCTCATGAGTTTGAAACTACCCTGAACCAGAGCAAGACCTCATCTCTAAAATAAATAGCTAGGCCTTGTGGTAGGTGCCTGTAGTTCCAGCTATTTGGGGGGCTGAGGCAAGAGAATCGGTTGATCCCAAGAGTTTGAGGTTGCTATGAGATTCTGTCTCAAAAAAAAAAAAAGGATGGCCTTGTTTTACATTTTTGCAAATCTGTTGA